TATACTAAAATGATACCTGAACCTATATGTTTATTGCAGCAGTATTCACAAAGTAAAGATAATGAAATCAGCCTGGGTCTATCAACAGATTAATGGTTAGTGTTCCTTTGTTTCAACTTGGAGAACTTCTTTTAGCCTTTTTGTAAGGTGGGATGAACTCCCACAGCTTTTCTTTGTCTGGAAGGGTTATGGTTTTAAATAGGGCCTGGTGTGCATGGTGGCTCATGCCTGTAATCTCAGCACTTTGGGAGGCCGAGGTGCGGGGATTCCTTGAGCCCAGTAGTTCAAGACCAGCCTGGGTAACATGTTGAAACCCTGTCTCTCCCAAAAAATACAAAAGTTATCCAGGCATGGTGGTGTGCACCTGTAGTCCCAGCTACCCAGGAGGCTGAGGTGGGAAGATGGCTTGAGGTGGGAGGCAGAGGTTGCAGTGAGCCAAAATCACGCCATTGCACTCCAGCCTGGGCAATAGAGCCAGACCCTGTCTCAATTGTGGTCTGGCTAACAGACCACAATTGAGTGAGTGAATGAATGTTATATGGGAAGGCCTCATCGAGAGTCACATTTGTGCAGAGACAAGTGAAGTGGGAGTGTTCCATATGGGAGGTTTAACAGGTATAAACCCCTAATGCTAGAATATGCCTGGCATGCCGGGGAACATAAGGAAGCCAGTGTGACTGGAGTAGAATGAATGCTGGGTATATGGAATTAGAAAATTTGGGACATGATAGGCCACTGTGAGGACTTCGGCTTTTACCCTGAGTGAGATGGAGAGACATTGGAGGTTTGTGAGCAGAGGCAGTATATTTAAAAAAATAAAATAGCTTTACTGGTAAATGATTCATATACCATATAATTTCCCCATTTAAAAATCGTTTTTAGTATATTCACAGAGTTTTGTAGCCATTACCATAATTCATTTTAGAACATTTTCATCACCTTCTAAAGAAACCCTGTACTTAGTAGCAGTTACAACTCATTTTCTCCTAACCCTCCAGACTTCAGCAAACTGTTTTCTGACACTATGGCTTTGACTGTTAGGGACATTTCACATATGTGGAATCATACAATATTCTTTTATAACTAGCTTCTTTTGCTTAGCATAATGTTTTTAAAGTTCATATTGTTGCATGTATCAGCACTTTCTTTTTTTTTTTTTGTCTTTTATCCATTATTATGTCCTTTAATTCATCGTGTGAATATACAACATTCTATTTATCCATTCATCAGTTGATGAGTATTCGGGTTGTTTGTACTTTTTAGCTGTTATGAATAATGCTGCTGTGGACATTTGTATATAAATTTTTATCTGGACATATGTTTACATTTGAGGTACTGCATTTTAAAGGAGCAAATTTTCCTGACAGAGGATCAATGACCTAGGTTCTCTTCCAGGAGGAGGTTTGGTTCCAGTTGCTGCTTTCTTTTCTTTGTTCACTGACTCTTCATACAGGGTTAGGTCATTTTTTTTTTTAAAGCAATTTCTGTCACTTTGTGTTTCAGTTTCTCTGATTTGGATGTCTTTGAGTAAAAGTTTGGCCACATGAAATAGGTTTTCTGAAATGTTCAGGCTGTTCTGTGTGTGTCTGTGTGTGGTTTGCACTATTTATTGCAGAAGTAAAATTAAAGGTATTTTCTGTGTAACAGTTTAGTTCCTTTGAAACCGTAGGTAGCTAGTCAGGTATAAGCAGGGCAGGCAAGGTCCCCCCACCCCACACCTGGAGTGCTGGAGATCATCAGGTGGTGGTCAGGCGGCTGTTAGCTGTTTCTCTAAAGTAATAATTAGTCACAGCCGGTGCTAGGAAAAGGTAGTCTCCTAATAGAAAACACCTGAAACTGATCAGCAGCTTCCCAGTAAGATCTCAGGAGTGGGAGAGGTAATGGAAGATCCCGGAAGTAGGCCGGTGTATAAAGCCCCGAGTCAAGAGGCCAGGCTGCACACTGGGTTTTTCAAGCCACCCGCTTAGCTGTCTTCCAGGTTGTACTTCCCTTCTTTTCTTTCCTTTCCTTCCTGTTCTAAAGCTTTTTAATAAGCTTTCACTCTTGCTATGAAGTTTGCTGTGGCCTCTCTGAATTCTTGCTGTGGTCTCTGCCTCAGTTGAATTCTTTCTTCTGAGGCGGTGAGAGTTGAAGTTGATGCAGACCTGTATAGATTTGGGTACAGGCTGTTCTACTTAGAGCCTTATGTAATTGTTAGTTAAGATATTTTGATAGAATCTCAGTTTATGAACGTTCTTGAGGAAAGTTACACAGGGTTTTCTACTGTGAGTTGAGACTCATTAGTGAGTCATTTCAGTGAAAGCAGCATTTAAAAACGGAAATAGAATACAGAAGGAAAGATTAGAGCACATCTGTTACTTTATGAAACTTTTAATTCAGTCAACATGTGTGAACTGGGTAAGATAAAACATGTATATGTTTATGGATTGTAGTAAAAAAAGCTTGGAACCCGTCTGGGTTAGGATGTCCATGTAATTAATAGTTTCTTTTCCATTTTATTTTTATTTTTTGGAGAGCATTGAGGTCTTGCTCAGCATGGAATATTTAAACATTATATATTGTACCCCAACAGGCAATATAAAGGAGAAGTTTTTGTTGTTTAATGTAAGTGTGGGGATGAGATTTGTATCTTTTTATGAATAATTATGATTTTCTGGTAATATTATAATTAAATGTATATATGTTTTTTTATTGTAGGAGTCATACTCCATGGGTTATGTGATAGATGATCTTCTTGGCATAGAAGACAATTTAAAGAATGATGGTAAGTGGTATCTTAAAGACTAGCCTTAGCTTTTTGGCCTTTCTATTTTCTTCCTTTTACTTCTCATTTATTATCTTTTTAAATGTAATATTTGTTTCATTCAAGATACCCTATGGAACATACAGGGATAATGTGAACCGCTATGAATGTGTTATTTAACTTTAGAGCCCAGGAATCCTGCTCCTCCACAGGCTTGCCTCTAACACTTCGGTACCTAGGTTAGGCATACAAGTGGAAATCAGCTTTTAAAATGTCTTAATATTGAATAGTTACAAATCAATGGATGCCAACAGCCTGACCTGTCCTCCTACCCAGGGTTCAGCTGACTCTTAAAGGAATCTACTCTCCCTGGACCAGGTAGGGTAGAAGTTAGGTTGGGGTAGGTCTGGAATCTGGTATGAGGACTGATGTGAAATTCCCCAGAGAGCCAGGGAAAACAGGTTTCTGTCCCCCACAATTTACTTTTCTAACTCAAGATTTTTCAGGCAATTCCAAATATCTTCTTAAACTACTCAGATTGAGGAGGAGGAAGGAATGCAGGTATACAGGGAGCCCAGTCTGCCTGGATACTTCCTTTGGGATAGTTGGAGTGACCAACCTTAATCAAAAGCGGATATTTTTGCTCTCGTTTTTCCGGCACAGAGGCTGATTTGCCTTCTTCCTTCTGCTCTTATTGTCTGGCCTGGGGGGACCAAGTTTAGTTTGTGAGTCCCTCTCTCTTAATTTGTGTTCACTCAATTAGTTACTGATTACTTTTGGATTTTGATGTTTTTGATAGGTGCAGTTTTTAAAGTGTGGGGCTCAGGGCAGAGCCCCTTCTTCTGGTTGGAAGAGCAGGAGAGCATCTATCTGTGTGCTCTTACCTCATCCCTCCCCGCTTCATACTCTTTCTCAGTTCTAAGGTTTTGATTTTTCATATCTGTCATTTGGAGTCATTTTCTTTTTGTCTGCTATATCCTGAGAATTTTCTACAGTGAGGAGAGGGTCTTTTGGTCATAAACTATGCTTTTGTTTGCCAGAAGATTTCCTTTTTTTTTTTTTTTTAATCTGCTGTAATTTTGAAAGATGGTCTTACGGAGGATAGAAGTCTAGGTTGACAGATTTTTTTTCTCTTAATATCTTTTTTTTCTTCTTGAGACAGAGGCTGAGAGACAATGTCACTCAGGCTGGAGTGCAGTGGCACAATCATAGCTCACTGCAGCCTTGACCACCTGGGCTCAAGCAATCCTTCTGCCTCAGTAGCTTGGGACTATAGGTACATGCCACTACGCTTGGCTAATCTTTAATTTTTTATTTTTTTATAGTAATATAGTCTTGCTTTATTGCCCAGGCTGGTCTTGAATGCCTGACCTCAAGCAATTCTCTTGTCTTGGCCTTCCACAGTGCTGGTATTACAGGCATGAGCCACTATTTCTTCTCGTTCTCTCTCTCTCTCTCTCTTTTTTTTTTAAGATTTTAAAATTAAATTTTAAATTTTTTATTATGGTAATACACATGACCTTTACAATCTGAACCATTTTTAAATGTACAGTTCAGTGGTATTAAGTGTATTCATATTGTTATGCAGCTATCACTGTTCATCTTCAGAACTCTTTGTCTTGCAAAATTGAAACTTAGTATACATTAAACAATAACTTCCCATTTCCCCTCACCCCTTGCTCCTGTACCACTTGCTGTCTCTGTGATTTTTGACTACTCTGTGTACCACATATAAGTGAAATCATACAGTATTTGTCTTTTTGTGTTTGGCTTATTTCATTTAGCATAATGTCTTCAAGGTTCATCCATGTTGTAGCATATGTCAGAATTTCCTTCTTTAAGACTGGATAATATTTCATTGTCAGTGTATATTACATTTTACTTACCCATTTATGAGACACTGGGCTGTTTTCCCTTTTGAGCTATTGTGAATGATGTTGCTGTGAACATGAGTATACAAATATCTCTTCAAGACTCTGTTTTCAGGCCGGATACAGTGGCTTACGCCTATAATCCTGGCACTTTGGGAGACTGAGGCAGGTGGGTCACTTGAGGTCAGGAGTTTGAGACCAGCCTGGCCAACATTAGCTAGCATGGTGATATGTGCCTGTAGTCTCAGCTACATGAGAGGCTGAAGCTTGAGAATTGCTTGAACCCAGGAAGCGGAGGTTGCAGTGAGCCGCGATCATGCCACTGCACTCTAGCCTGGGTGTCAGAGGAAGACTCTGTCTCCAAAAAATAAATAAAAAAATAGTAAATAACCATTTTCAATTATTTTGGGTACATAACCAGAAGTGGAACTTCTAGATAATATGGTAAATCTTTTTCAATTTTTTGAGGAACTGTCGTAGTGTTTTCTGCAGTAGCTGAACCATTTAAAATTCCCACCAATGGGAGAACCATCCCAGCAACCCCACCACGGCTGGTCTTCCCTGGACAGCATGAACCACACTGTCCAAACCTTCACTGCCGCCAACACCGACCGTCGGCCCAACTATGAGATGTTGAAGGAGGAGCATGAGGCGGATGTGCTGGGGGCGCCCCACAACCCTGCTCCCCCGACATCCACCATGATCCACATCTGCAGCAAGATCTCTGTGCCCGACCACGTTGTCTGGTCCCTGTTCAACACCCTCTTCGTGAACTCCTGCTGCCTGGGCTTTATAGCATTCACCTACTCCATGAAGTCTAGGGACAGGAAGATGGTTGGTGACTTGACCCGGGCCCAGGCCTACGCCTCCACCGCCAAGTGCCTGAACATCTGGGCCCTGATCGTGGGCATCATCATGACCATTCTGCTGATCATCATCCCAGTACTGATTTTGCAAGCCTATCAGTAGATCAAGACAAATCATCCAGGCCAGGGCCTCTGCCCGTGACCTGTCTCCCACGTACCCTACCTTGCATTCCTCGCCCTGCCCCCGAGCCAAGACCGGTATCAGCCCTTTATCCTCACACACTTTTCTACAGTGGCATTCAGTAAAGTACACGTGTTCCTGGTGAAAAAAAAAATTCCCACCAATGGTGTACAAGAGTTCCAGTTTTTCCACATCCTTACCAACATTTGTTATTTTCTGTTTTTTTTATAGTAGCCATTTTAATGAGCGTGTGGGTAATCATTTTTATTAGTGTTTGATTTATCCTTTATATTTTCAAAAAGAAGAATGTATATATTCATATGTATATATATGTGTTTTTCTTTCTTGAACCCAAAGATAATGTATTTTAGTATCTTGGGAGGTTTTTTTTTTTTTCACTTAGCAATATATCCTAGCGTGTTAGAGATCTTCATTTTTTATAGCTGCATAGTATTTCCCATTGATCTTTGTTTTGAAACTCTAGCAAGTAAGATAGAGTAAAGCTTTCCTTATCTGCCAGTTGTGATTCTAAGAGGAATGTGGCCAAAAACCTGAAAGTAAATCAAAAATGCCTATGATCATACGTAACAGATAGTCCACACACTGAAAGTATATTCACTGTACTTGAAGAATTCTCGAGTTCCTTATTCAGAACTGTGATAGTACATTTCCTGTAAGCCTACCAAATAAGAATTGACAGCTAATAGCCTGCTGGGGGAGAGGAGAAAATAATTAAGAATTAAGATTTTGTGTTCTACTTAATCATTAGGAAGTAAAGACTAAAAAATTTTTAACACTTTTGTCTGTGCCCGTTTATTTTAGAACAACTATCTTTTGTATTTCCATAACTCCTGAGGCGTAATTAAATTATAGTATCATACAGAAGTTGTTCATAGTGATAACGTGAAGCTCTTAAGAAACAAGTAAGTTTCTTTAGTAGCCTCTCTTTCAGAGGTCAAGGAAATGTGTTCAGAGATTTTCATACAGAATAATAAAACCAAAAAGAATCTGTGCTTAGCAGGCTAAATTTTGGTTATCAGTTTATGTAGAACACCTCATTTCCCAATAATGTTTATTTATTCATGCTTTTTAAAAAAATCATGCTGCCAGTGATTCATTTATTCACAACATATTTATGTGCCAGGCACCGTCCTAGACAGAATAGAGTAGTGAACAAAACCTAGTCCTTCAGATACTTACTGTCTAATGGGAAGACAGAGTAAACACATTAAGTTTATGATTTAAAATATAATTGTGGTAAGTGTTAAAAAAGAGTACACATTGGTTTGAGTATGTAAATGAGTCCTGGCCAAGTCTGGGGGTTGAAGAAAACTTAGCCTTAGGGAGTTACATTTAAGTTGGAATTAGAAAGATCATTAGGCTTTGGCTGGGCTAAGAGGAATATTCTCTTGGGATGCTTTCGGTAGCAAGTAGGTTGGCTTCAGGTAAGAGTTGATCCAGTGGCTCAACAATGTCATCAAGAATGTGATTGCTTTTCCTCCACTTACTCTGTCTTCTGTCTTGTTGCCATTATTTTTTTATTTTTATTTTTATTTTTTTTTGAGACGGAGTTTCGCTCTCGTTACCCAGGCTGGAGTGCAACGGCAGGATCTCGGCTCACTGCAACCTCCGCCTCCTGGGTTCAGGCAATTCTCCTGCCTCAGCCTCCTGAGTAGCTGGGATTACAGGCACGTGCCACCACGCCCAGCTGATTTTTTGTATTTTTAGTAGAGACGGGGTTTCACCATGTTGACCAGGATGGGCTCGATCTCTTGACCTCGTGATCCACCCGCCTCGGCCTCCCAAAGTGCTGGGATTACAGGCGTGAGCCACCGCGCCCGGCTTGTTGCCATTATTTTAAGGCTTGTTGTCTTTATGATCCCTAGATGGTTAGTGGTAGTTTCCAAAGGTGTATATTCCCTAATATTTGGCCAGTAGGAGAGTCTTTTCTCTAACATTTCCAGTAAAAGATCTGAGATCCTCTCAGTTTTGATCACCTTAGGTCACATGCTAACCTCTGGATCACTTGTTGTGACTAGGTGAGTAGATTGGCTTAGGCAAGGTCATGTGCTGCAACCTGGAGTTAGGGACTAAATGTGCTTGTCTAGAACCACAAGGGACCCCCCAAAAAGTGGAATTGTTAGAAAAGGAGGATGTAGAGAATGAATGCTAGAGAAGAAGCCAGTAAATGCATTACAGAGGGGCAGACTATGCCACATAGAAGAAAGAATTCTGTATAAATCTCCTGAGTTAGGATGGAGCTTGATGCTTACGGGGAACTGAATGAAAGTCAGTGGTATTGGAGCATGGCAAAGGAGGAAAAGAATAGTACAAGATGAGACTGGAGGCCAGGCCATGTATTTGTAGATAATACCAGATTTCCAAAGTGGTGCTACCAGTGTCGTTTCCTGTCAGTAGTGTATGGGAGGAGTTGCCCCAGATCACCAGTACATGGTATAATCATTTATTTATTAAAAAAAATTTTTAAAATAATTTTGATGACTGATTCTTAGTGCTTTTTCATTTTATTATTGGCCATTTAGATACCACTTGTGAAATGCCTTCTCAAGTTTCCTGCTCATTTTGCTGTTGACCCCATAGACTTCTTTTTTGAGTCAGTGTCTGACTTTGTCTTCTTCCTCTTCTTTTTAGTATTTTCTAATAGAGACAGGGTCTCACTTTACTGCCCAGGCTGGTCTCAAACTCCTGAGCTCAAATGATCCTCCTGTCTCAGCTTTCCAGAGTTCAGGGATTATGGGCATGAACCACCATGCCTGGCCTTGACTCAGTGGCTTTCTTTTTTTGCAATTGATTTAAGGAATTTTTTTTTACGTTGACTGTAATATCACCTTTGACACTTTTATGAATATGTCTTCTAGTCTGTAGCTTGCTTTTTCATTTTCTAATACCATCTTTTGAATAGGATCTGTTCTTAATGAAGTTTGGTTAATTTTTCCATTATGATTAGTGTTTTTTGTGTCTTAAGATATTCCTTTCTACATGAAAATATTCCCCTTTATCATTTTTGGTAACTTTTAATTTCGTTATAATTTGAAATTTAAGAAAAGTTGTGAGAAGACTATGAGGAATTCTCATATCCTTTTGTCAGATTTACCAATTGCTAATTTTGCCCCATTAGCTTTATTCTTTTCTTTCTCTCTTTGTGTGTATGAAACACACAAATATCTATAAATATACATACATCCATATACACATATCTGCCTGCACACATATGTCAATGTATACATATCACTTTTTCCCTGAACCATTTGAGAGTATTTGATGCCAACATACTCCTTTATCCTTAAATACTTTAATGTATATTTCCTAAGAATTAAGGGCATTCTTTTACATGACCACAATTCAGTGATTAGAATGTGGAAATTTAAAATTTGTACAATATTACTATATAATCCGCAGTGGATATTCAAAATTCGTTATTACCTGAATGATGTCTTTTATACTTGTTTTCTTCTTGATCCATTTAGTTGCTGGGTCTGTGTGGTCTCCTTTAATCTAGAACAATTCTTCAGCCTTTCTCTTGCTTGATTGCCATTTTTGAAGACTACAGAACAGTTATTTTGAAGAATGTCTCCTCAACTTAGGTGATGTTTCATCATGATTAGATTCAGGTTTTGCATTTTGGGCAGAATATCACATGACTGATGATGTGTCCTTATCAATACATCACATTAGGAGGTATATGATGTGAATTCGTCCTGCTTGTTAACGTTGATCACTTGGTTAGTGTAGTGTAGTATCAAGCTTTTTACTTTAAAGTTTCTGTTTTCTCTTTTTATATTAGTAATTTGTGGAGAAGCACTTTGAGGCTTTGTAAATAGACAGTACCTTATCAAACTGTCACTAACTAGTTTCAGAATCCATTAATGATTAACTTATTAAAGATTTATGAGGAAGAGGCTTACATTCTCTTCAGTTATCTGTCTGGACTCTGATTTTTAATTTTATTTAATGTAATCTAATATTATTTATTTTGATACTCAGATTGTCCCAGATTAGCCAGTGGGAGACTTTAAGCTGGCTCTTGGATTTTTTTTTTCTTTTTCTTTTGAGACAGGGTCTCTGTTACCCAGGCAAGAATGCAGTGGCGCAATTACAGCTTACTGTCATCTTGACTTCCTGGGCTCTAGCGAGCCTCCTGCTCAGTCTCCTGAGTACCTGGGAACCTGGGCCAATTAAAAAAAATTTTTTTGTAGAGATGGGGGGTCTCCCTATGTTTCCCAGGCTGGTCTTGAACTCCTGGACTCATGTAGCTATCCTGCCTCGGCTTCCTGAAGTGGTGGGATTACAGGTGTGAGCCGCTGTACCTAGCCAAGTCTATTTGGTACATCCATATTATTCTTTGAGCATTTCTATACTTCCTAGTGTAACAAGCTGCCCTGGGTTCAGCTTGTAATTCCCCTGTTTTATTCTTCTTCTCATCTTATTACACAGGCTAGAACTTCCAGTATAATGTTGAATGGAAGTGGTGATAGTAGTTGACATCCTTGTCTCTTTCAATTTTATACCGTTAAATATGTTTGCTATAGTTTGCTAAGAATTGAAAAGTTATAAACAAATATTAAATTTTATCACATGCTTTTCTTTCCATCTGTTGATACGAATATAAGGCTTTCTCCTTTATTCTGTTAATATTATATAATTCTGTGAATACATTTATTAACAGATTAATAAATTCTGTGAATTACATTTCATTGATTGGAAAATGTTAAATCAGCCTAGTATTCCTGAAATAAATCCAACTTGCTTGTGTTCTCTTATTTGAATTCAATTTGCAAGTATGTTTATGTGTGTGTATACATACATGTATTAATGTGTGTGTGTATACATACGTGTGTGTATTATTATTATTTTTTGCTTTTGTTTGAGACAGAGGCTCACTCTGTCACCCAGGCTGGAGTGCAGTGGCATGATCTCAGCTCACTGCAAACTTCACCTCCTAGGTTCAAGCGATTCTCACACCTCAGCCTCCTGAGTAGCTGGAATTACGGGCACGCACTACCACACCCACTAATTTTTGTGTTTTTAGCAGAGATGGGTTTTGCCATATTGGCCAGGGTGGTCTTGAACTCCTGACCTCAAGTGATCTGCTCACTTTGGCCTACCAAAGTTTTGCTGGGAT